TTCTCAATCTTAAATTCTAATTATTCTAATGGGTGTGCAGAGGTATCTTACTGTGGTTTTAATCTGCATTTTCCTGATGAATAATGATGTTGAACACCTCCTTGTTGGCTTTTTGGATAACCTTTTCAATTAAATGTTTCTTCCAGTCTTTTGCCCATTTAAAAAAATAGATTGTATTTGTATTATTCATTTGCAGGAGCTCTTTATATTCTGGATGTAAGTTCCTCTCAGATAGATGTAAAACAGAATGGCATTTAATTGAAATTATTTCATGTGTTGGCATAGTGTCTGACCTTGCCCATTTGTTAAAAAAGAGAAATAATGTAGTGTTAGTACGGATAGTTATTCTGTCTGTGCAGAAAAGAGATAGTGTGTTTTAATTTAAAAAATATTTTTTTCTAGTAACTAAAATAAAGGAAACACTTGGACAAGCAAGATGATAGTCCTACAAAGTATTTATCTTTGCATAAATAGACTTCCTTTTGGGTAACTGGACCTTTATATAGAGGCTTTTTGTATTTTAAGATAAGCAGCAGGATTTGCTGGAAACTGGATGATAATTCTATTTTGCAGTAGTCATGACAGGGTAATCTCATGGGTCCAATGACAAGAGTCAAAGAACCCTAATTTCTTCCTTTTCCAAAGCCCTCCCAAAATCCAGACAAGAAAGAGAGACTTCCTTGTTCTAGTCAGAATGGCTAATTTATTGCTACTGGGGCAGTTGACATTAACCCCAACTGAAAACTCTTTCAGTAAGGATGTTCCTAAAAGCTACCTTGACACAGAGAGCAATATCCTGACATAATAGACCATTTTGCAAAGGATTTCTGTACAACTCAGTCTGGCACACAAGGCTGCCGCGTTTCTTCTTGACATTCACATTCAGGTAAAATCTGATTAGACCACAGGATGAAAGTCACCGCAGCGAACATGTCACCATCTATGCATGGCCTCCATGCCCATGGTAAACATCGCTATTGGATCATAAACATAAACATCATGACACTTTGCTAATGGGTCCAGCCTCAGGCATCAACTACTATTCAGTCTGAGTTGGCCCCAGAGATAGAATCTATTTGCCATGCCTGAGTAGAAGTGCATACAATGAGCAGGGTTGGGAGCGGAAAATAAGCCCCAGAAAGCCAGCCTGAAATACACGAGGAGAGTGGAGATTCATACCCTATTCCCTTGGTAGTGGCCCATGACAGGCTTGTGGGCTGATTACAGATGTGTTCACAGTTTATCTTATAAGACTTTTTTAAAGTTCCAGAAGAATGGCGGTCCCCTTCTCCCCTGACAGCTGCTTTCCTAGCATCCTGGTGACACAAATGTGGGTCACCTGCAGCCACACTGGCCAACACTGGGATTTTTACCACGTCCAGCACCATCTATAGAATAGTTCTAGAAAATATTGTTACATGGCTGTTTTTGTTGTCGTTATAGGGGAGTGTGTTCAACACCTGGAAACCCATGTGGGTTGTATTGTTAGAAGATGGAATTGAATTCTATAAGAAGAAAAGTGACAACAGCCCCAAAGGAATGATCCCCCTGAAAGGAAGCACTCTGAACAGCCCTTGTCAGGACTTCGGCAAAAGGATGGTGAGTGGAGATTACTAGCCACAGTGAACGCCTTGTCAGGCACTGACCTGTGAGCCTGTGCACAGCCCACAGTGTGAATGGTTCCCCTGGGCCAGTCCCTCTCCCTGCCACCCACACTCCACCTTGGGCATTTGGATCTCTCTTGGCCAAGCACTTCCAGAACAGGGTGGGCTCAACTGCTGTGCTTTATAAGGGGCCTCAGCCCCTTGAAAGGAATGATTCCTAATGGGATGTGTTTTTATTTTTAGTTTGTGTTTAAGATCACTACGACCAAACAGCAGGACCACTTCTTCCAGGCAGCCTTCCTGGAAGAGAGAGATTGCTGGGTTCGGGACATCAAGAAGGCCATTAAATGCATTGAAGGAGGCCAGAAGTTTGCTAGAAAATCCACCAGGCGATCCATTCGACTGCCAGAAACCATTGACTTAGGGTGATTTTTCTGTGTTTGCTTCCTTCCACCCCTTTCATTTTTACCCCCTTTGAGAAAAATCTCACAGCAGATCCTGCTCCAAGGTTTGCTTTGGTCACCTCTGAAGGCTATAACTACTCTTCCAGGTTGATACCGGCACTTGGTGTATAAGATGTTTACTTGGATCTGAAGGGGTGATCATGGTTTCCCCCTAGCAGCTGAGGAGAGGAAGCTAATAGAGTATACATTCTCTCATTTGGTTAACCTTGGCAGAGAGAGAGAGAGAGAGAGAGAGAGAATTATTATTGCACAGAGAGAACTTATTATTACACTTAGGATGAAGCCGTAATAAGCTAGGCTTGAAAGAAACCTCAGGATCTCTAAGTAGGCAGAAAAAAGCAGAGGGTATGCAACCAAGCATGTGAAGTTTCAAGTTCAAGTGCACACATTTACACAATCAACACGGACCAGACAAGGTGAATACCCATTCTGGGTGGAAGCCATTTGTGCCCTGACCTGGCTTAATGTCCTCTGACATTGGCTGGCTTGGAATTGCAGGTGATGGTTGTTGTCTAAAGGCTGTTAGAGGCTCACAGCTACATTCTGCCCCTGCGAGGTGATGGGAATAGGGTTCCTTCCTTCCTGCACGTTTCACATCTCCTATCCCATGAGCCCTTTTCTCTGAGAGTCTGTTTGCTTCCTGATAATTTTGCTTTTATGTAGAGCATACCCTGAAACAGGAGATCTGCCAGGAAGAATTCCATATGGGCTTCTTAAAATGACCAATGAAGATTTTGTTTACAAAATGCGGGGAGCAGGGGGCTTTTGAGGGGGACTGAGAAAAAACAAACCCTTCCACAAGCCTAACGCAGGACTTGGCATGTCACAGGAGTTTGAGAAAGTTTGCACATTGAGTTTGGTGAGACTGAGCACCTTCTCTCATCAGAAAAGCTTTTTGGTGAAGGCCCCAGAGGAAGTGCCTGGTTTAGCTGCAGTTGCTGGCTGGGGTCATTCAGTGACCACAATTCTGGTCACGAGAGCTGAGTGGCAATGATGTTTATGCTATGTGGAAGGTACATGAAAGTGGCTTTCTGTTTGGCTGATTACAATTCCCCTGATCAGGCTAGCTTCAGTTTATTACTTCAAGGACAAAAACGAAAGCNGCTGAAAGGAGGTGCTGTTAGGTTACTGCAGTGAGAAGCTAGCAGCTGCAGCAAGGGCTGGGAAGAGAGAGATCACCAATAATTCCATCATCCTACCCTAACTAATTACTACCAAATCTGGAAGAAAGTTTCCATTTTATAAGTTGTCTGATTCCTCTTGTTTTCTAGAGTATCAGGCTCCTCAGTGCACATAATGACCCTGAATCTGAAATGACATATCGTCCTCTAAGTGAGGTGACAGACCCCTACAGCTACTTTTGAATTAGGAAAGCACAAACTCCTTTTGAACAGTTGGCTCTGGAGTAGCTTGACTTTAATTGTATAGAGAAGGAATGCAGTGCTGGCTGACCTCTCCCAGTTTATCTCAATTCCAAGGTCAAAAGCCCTGAGTGACTTTATTAATCTTTGATAGGCCTGAGGTAGAATATAAAATTTTAGACTTGAAAGGCATTTTAATCATCATTTATAATTTTCAGTTATTTTAATTGTTTACTAAACAGACTTATCTCTATATTTCCCTAGAAGTATACCCCAAACTATAATAGATAGTAGTGTCATGTGTTGTTCATTTATTTATTGATTTTTCCCAATTATTTTGAAAAATTTCAAACCCACAGAGAAATGAGAAAATAGTACGACAGTCTGTAAACTCTTTACCTAGACTAATCAACTGTTAACACCTGGTCATATTTGCTTTATCACTCCCTATTTCTATATTTCTACATAAATATACACACATATTTTCATGCTGAGATATTCGAGAATAAGTTGCAGACATCATGCTACCTAACTCCTAAATACTTCAACGTATATCTTCTAAGAATTAGGGCAGTCTCCAGTTTTTCCATTTTATGTACATTTTGCACTCCTGCCTGCCATGTATGGGAGTTCCCATTACCATCCTTGCCCAGTCTTGCTCTTCTCAATCTTAAATTCTAATTATTCTAATGGGTGTGCAGAGGTATCTTACTGTGGTTTTAATCTGCATTTTCCTGATGAATAATGATGTTGAACACCTCCTTGTTGGCTTTTTGGATAACCTTTTCAATTAAATGTTTCTTCCAGTCTTTTGCCCATTTAAAAAAATAGATTGTATTTGTATTATTCATTTGCAGGAGCTCTTTATATTCTGGATGTAAGTTCCTCTCAGATAGATGTAAAACAGAATGGCATTTAATTGAAATTATTTCATGTGTTGGCATAGTGTCTGACCTTGCCCATTTGTTAAAAAAGAGAAATAATGTAGTGTTAGTACGGATAGTTATTCTGTCTGTGCAGAAAAGAGATAGTGTGTTTTAATTTAAAAAATATTTTTTTCTAGTAACTAAAATAAAGGAAACACTTGGACAAGCAAGATGATAGTCCTACAAAGTATTTATCTTTGCATAAATAGACTTCCTTTTG